TGAGTTATATGGTGATTGATTTCTTGTATAATTTGTATTGTTCGGGAGTGGTTTTCCTGAACTGTTGTTGCTGTACACAGTTTTGTTCGGTAGATTTTGATCTTTTTTCATGTATTGATAGAATGATTTATTTGGTTCTTTATATTTTTGAGGTTTATTTTGATTGTCTTGCTGTTTTTGTCTACATTCAGAAATACTATGTCCGTATCGTCGGCAATAATTACACCATTTTTTGAAAGATGGTTTGCCTTTAAAGTTTGGGTGTTTTTCGTAAATATTGAGTATTTCAGTGATTTTTTCAACGAGGTCTGTATCTGATTCCTGTATATTGTTTATATTTGTGGAAGCTGTTTCAATTCTGTTAACGTATTGTAATTTCAGATTTTCCGTTTCTTCGAGTTTCATTGTGATTTCTGCTTGTTCTAGTTTGTCTACTAGTTTTTGAAAATCTAAATCGGGTTCTCGAATTGAAGAAGGATGGGATGCTCTCTTTTTTATTGCTATTTTTCTTAATTGCGGTGTTAAGGTCATCATTAAGATTTCTGTCATCTTTGTGTTTTTATAGTCGTGTGTATTTAATGAATATGCTTTTCGAACTAGTGTTTCGATTCGTACTGCTAATTGCTTGATGGTTTCGTTTGGTAATCTGCGAATTTCATTACCGAAAACTCTTTGTTGTTGTTTGTTTCTTTCGGAGTCAAACATTTTTGAAAATTCTTGTGTAAACCTTTTCCAATTTGATTTTATTTCTATAGGCAATACTGAAAACCATTTTTGGGCTGCGCCGTCTAAAGTTGTTTGTATCAACGCTGTGCGTCGATGTATCCAGTTTTGATGTAGTGGCGTATTAATTGGTTCAGGTCCTATATTTAAAATCAAATTTGCTGTTACTGCATTTAAATAGTCTTCTACAGAATATTCAGGGTCTGTTCCTGTGAATACCATTAAAGGTTTATTTGATGTTATTGATGATCCACCCATAAGGTATGGATTCATTGTCATTTGTAATGATTCTGCTGCATTTGGCATTTGAGAAAAATTTGAAAGTTGATTTCTTGTTATTTCGTGTTGTTGAAGATAATATGGGAGTGGTATTTCATTTTGCATTTGTGTTGGTTGGTACGAGTTTGCAATCATTGGGTTTTGTTGCTGAATTGGTTGAAAAGATTGTGTATTAATTGGGTTTTGTTTTTGGATTGGTTGTTGATTTTGTGTATCTATCGGTTGTGGAGAAAAAATTCTATGATATGTATGTGGTTTCTGTACTCCTTGTCCACGATATTCTTGATTATACGGTGCAAATATATCTGGTTGTAAAAAATCATCATCTGAGGATAAGTAATCCATTTGATAAGATGTTTGTTTTTTATTTTTATTTTGTTGAAAAAATGGATAGTTTTCACTACGATCCTGTGGAGGATGTAAATTTGTTTGGAAATTTACTGAATTAGGTGGTGCCATTGAGTTATCCCAGTTTCGAGATCTTGTATAATTACTAGAATTTTTTCGTGGTTGATAATTTGTTTTTGATGGATGTGTGTAATTATAATTATGGTCTGCAAAATTGTTTCTAGTGAACGTTTTGCGTGTTTTTGGCGGTATTGTCATGGGTCTGTATGTTTGGTAATCCATGTGTGAATATTTTGGGGCAACCGAAGGTTTAACGGTTGATTGTAAGGTTACCTGTGTGTGTGAAGGGTTTGTATTTCTTGGTTTTGTTAAGTTTGGACGTATTGGTGAAATACTTTGTTGTGTAGTTGTTGTGTGTACGATTTCTTCATTTATGAAGTGTGATGGTGTCTGGATATCTTGTTGAGTAAGATTCCTAGTTCCATTGAGGTTTTCATTGTGTATGACTGTAGAGTTTAAACTATTATTTTGCATATCGGGTAAAAATGTATTATAGTTTAATGGTGTTGCATCAATGGTTAATGGTATTACTCTTACATAATCTCTTATATAAGATATCGTACTTATTGCTTGGCTTGAGATTGATTGTGGGAAGTTTATGAATGCGGGATGAGACCATTCGGGGTCCCAAACATAGTCTGATTGTTCTGTGATGGCAGTATCATCGTTTGAGTTTTGGGGTCTAAAATTTTTTCTTGCTTGTGAAATTAAATCAATATTATGTGTGAAATAATCTATTATGAACCATGCCAAAATTTTTTGTAAGTCGTGTTTTGTATGTTGTGAAACTTCATCTTTCGTGAAATTTTCTTTAATTATATTTAGAAAACTAGAGAGTAGTGTGATTTCATGTCGTACTCTTATATGTTTAGATGTTTCTGTCGGTGAGACATTTGGTATCTGGATTTCGTTTTCTAATCTCGAGATATAACTATATATTATCGCAAAAACTTCATTGGTGAATATGGAGTTTGCTCTTTGTGAGTTATGATATTGGATGCTTTTTATATATTCTGAGAATACTTTTGAAAATTCTAAATCAAGGTCGTCTGTTTGAATTATATATTTATTGTGATTCTGATTTGGTGAGCTGAATTCTATGGAGTAGATTCCGTATTGTTGTGTTAGGTTACATATATCTTTTAGATAGTGATCGATAATTTGTCTTTTGATTTTTACATCTGGGAACTCTGTTTTACATGGACTGATTCCGGGTTCAAACAAATTTAAGAGTAAATTTTTGCAAAATATATGCTGTCCTCTATCAGTGGTTGCATCTACTATAAAGGGGAAGATATCATCATCATCTGGACTTTCTTCACCTGGGGTGTGTGTTGAGCTCATTTTTTCGTTTGATGACTGTTAATATGTAATTATCAATGTGTCTAATTGGTTGATTCCAATTGTATAAATGTACTGGTTTGTGTTTATACTGCTTTTTTATTCTTCTTTTTCCTCTTTTTGATGAATTTGAAGTTGTTTCTGAGTCGGAAAAATATAATTGATCGTGAATGGGGCAATTTTTATCTATAGATTCTTTTAATTTATAAAGTTCGTCTAAACTGCTGGTTTCTGATTCTGAAAATGCGTTGCGGTTTTTGGAAAATCTTTTTCGTGTAATTTGTCTTTGTTTGGTTATTATTTTTCTTTTTAGTGTTTGTCGTTTTGTTCTGATATATCCAACTGTTTGTGTGTGTGGTGTGATTACAAGATCGTATTTTTTGTTATCTATTTCACAATTGTGTAAAACGATTGTTTGTTTATTTCCTAGGTTTTTAAATGACATAAGGTTTAGGATGACGGATGCAAAAGGTTGTTAAATGATTTCTATTTGCTTAAACTGTTAGTCCTTACGATTTTTTGGTTAGCTTAACCTGGGTCTATTTGTTCAGGGTTGGAGAGAAAAGTATATCGATTCCGAAGAATGATTTTATACTTTCTCGTGGCTAGTATAAGCTAAGGTGTTAACTTACTTAATCTTACTTAAGGGTAGTGATTGTGTTCAGGGTTGGAGAATAGTAAATCGATCCACAAGGTTCAGGTATAATTAGAACGCGAGTAGTTCGTTAGATACTATTTTAAACTTACTAAGTCTAAGATTTATCCTGGGTCTGGTAAGAGGGGGGATCAAGTGAAGGATGAATAACCGAAGTTCTTCACTGTTTATCCTAATTTGAATGATTAGTTTTGTTCAAAAATTTCTATTAGTCCTGGGTTTTTAGAAAGGGTTGGATAGTGAATCGACGTTTGAGGTCGTTAGACACTAGTTAAGTGGGTGGGGGAGAACAAAGTTGTTCTTTTTGATCCAAGGATAGGCCTTGATGATCAAGTTTTAAATTTAATTAAGTAGAAAATGATTTAAGATCCAAGGATAAGCCTTGATGATCTGATTTTAAAATTAAGTGAATTTAAGTTTTAAAATGATTTAAATTTGTGTAAGGAAAAGATTTAGTATTTTTATGATATTAGTGAGCTTATGAATGCTGTTATGTTTAGGTGATGAAGCTGGAACAACAGGATGATTTATAATTACTAACCATTTATTGTCATGCTACTAATTTTTATTTTGATTTTTCAATAAATATTTTTCAAACATGTTTTGTATATTACTGCAGAATTTAGGAAAACGATCTGAGATCTGCTTATCAATCGTTATTGTATATTAATATTTTTGTTTAGCGCCTGAAATGATTTTGAAGATTGACTTCAAGATTTTATGTTTGCAAATGAAAATCTAAATTCATTGCTAGTAGTATTCTAAATACAAAAGTTTGTTCTGGCTTTTGCCGAACTATCATATAACTATATGGTAAGTTTCTACTTTGTCGTATGTCGTCTCTGGTTCGAGGTCTTCTTCCAATTCCGGGTAGTTCTGTTATCGTTCGCAATATTGGCTCTGATCTATTGAGTCGTAGAGACATTTCGATTAAATTATTGTCGTATAACATTTTGTAAATGTTTTGTCTAAATTCTAATCTATTATTGGTTAATTCTAAGCTATTAAGGTCTTGTTCGAGACTTATGGTCGCACCAGATGAATTATGACCGAAGTGTATAACTCATAGAGTAATTTCGGATAGGGTACACCGTCTGCTCGTCACGCTATCTTATTTTCGGCCGGATAGATTCGTGCAACTTCTTAGTCTAATACCGATCCTAATCTTACTCTTATACTATCTAGTCTCAGGTTGTTTAACTAGTCTCTGCTAGGCTCAATAGATCTAGGGTATACTGGTTTATTGCGGCTGCTGAAGTACTCGGGAGAGTTCAACTAACTTCTAAGTTAAATTCAAATCTCTCTGGTGCTGAAATTACAAGTAATTTCAGCACTTACAAATAAGTGGATTGTTAGTCAGGATCATGATTGGTTAATATTAAATACTTTACATTGGTAAAATATCTAATTTATCCAATCATAAAATGTAGTTTAGATCAGGTTCCAATACGGTCCAAAACTGATATTTTTCATATTTTGAAATTTGGATTATTACGCTCAAATTTGATTGGTTGAAATTAATTCCAGTATATCAGAAGACCACCCCCCCCCCCCCGTCTTTAGTACTATTTTTTTGCTTTCTGTGCTTAACTAGGAGGAGTTGTCGGGTGCGAGTACAGGGGCGAGAGACATGGACGACACTCTGACCAATAAGGTGAAGGCAGTGGGCAAGATGGCCAAGTACTACGACAAGATGGCCAGCGACAACAAACTAGCCGTCCGCATGAAAGGTACACTGATAGTTGAAATCTATAAAGATAAAGGAGATTTTTTTTTTAATTTCAGCTATTTTATTTACAGATGGTTCTTCATTGCTGGGAAATCAAATTATACTGCCAGATTTGGACTTAATCACTGGACGCAAATCACTGAACTCTGAATAACGAAATAAATTTGATAGTTTTGGAGGATTTTGAAGCAACACCTTTCTTCACCTCAAATGAAAGCTAATTATAACAGCGATTGATGAAACAGTTCAGCATTAGTTTGATAGGTCTTAACGTTTTTTTTTGGGTTTCAGTAACGAGGTTTCAGATGGCAGTGGGAACTTGGAACTTTTTAAGAGTAATCGATGAACGTAGTGAAGACTCTTAAATAGGTCTTGCTGATTTTTTTCGTTTTTTTTTCAGGAAAAAGTCTCAAAATATTGATGCACTTAGGTATAAGGCACTTTTTGAGTGCATTTGAAATTCATCTGCTAAAAGTGACGTAAAGAGCACTCACCAAATACGAACGTGGAAATGGCGCGAAAAAACGTGAACGATTTCTAGTTTTGAAAGTGGAATTTATTTTTAAGATTTCCCAGCGGAATAAAAACTTTACCATTTGATCCAGTTTTCTCAATTTGGGTTCATGTTATCAAAAAACGCCACTCATAAATCGTTTTAAAAGTTCAAAGAGCTTAAAGGGCATCTATTTTTTTCCTTGAAATTCGAAAGTTGAGGTTTTTTAGAAAAAAGTCATTGTTGTTTTTATGTTTACTTGCGTTCATTACTCCTTTTCAATCTTCGATTGGCTGTTTTCATTTCAAATTTTGTTGAATTTGGAAGCTAAGCATAATACTGAGCAACGTTTCCAAATTGAAACTGTTCCAGCAGGGGCGGATCTAGGTTTTTTCGAGGGAAGGGGCGGATTGTCGAAGAAATAGTCCATTTTATTGACCAAATTTTCTGCACCGCAGGTAAGTTTTTGAAAAAAAAGGCCAACAAAAAGCGTTCTAAGGCACTTTTTCTGAAAATTTTGGCTAAAAATTGCGTTTTTTTGGCGCGCTCTCCCCTTTCAAATTCAGTTATAATTTGGCGCCAAGGGCTCCTTTGGAACAATTTTAGGGCCAGTTCAGCCAGAAAGGGATATCTCAAAATAGTACCAAGGGGGACCCTTTGGGTCCACAGGGGTTCAAAATCGGGGGGAGGGTGGTGGAGGGGGCTTCCGACTTCTTCCATCCCCAAATCCGCTACTTTGTATGGTTTTATTGTACTGAGGCTAAATTGTATGATTTTTTAACATACTATTGCAAATATTATTAAGATACCAGTTCCCTTCTACTGCTTTTTCTACGTTCAGCTGAATTTTAATTGTAATTGTTCTAAGTTTAATGACAACAATTGCAAATTAAATACAGCTGTAATTAGGATATATCATTCAAAAAAAAATCAGCTTGTCGAGCAGATTGAAAAAAAAGGCTGACCCTTTCGGTGCTAACCTTTTTACATTTTAAATAGAAACGAGCCGGATAAACTCAAAATCTCGAAATAATGGTTTAATTTATAATTTTTCCTTTAATTAAGAGCGGGCGCTCTGATTATTGCGTAGATTCAAAACTCAAAACATTTTGAAAATTTTTAATTAAAATTCAAAACTTAACTGTTGTTTGACATCCTCGATACTGAAACAAAAAAAAACGTTAAAACAAAAAATCAAACTATTTGTGAACTGTTTCATTAATTGCTGGTAAATTCTACTTCCATTTGAGATAAAAGACGAGCTGATCCAACATGATCAATTACTACCAAATTGGTTTTATTGTTCCGATTTTCGAAGAAAACGGAGTTTTTATGCTTGATGGGATTTTTTTCAGTCAATTTTTGGCAATCAAAACAAAATATTTAGAAAAATTATACCACATTGAAAATATCGACTCCCTTAAATCAAATTCAAAATTTTGTTTTACCTCCAACCTGTTTCGTAGAGTTCTGGAAGTTTTAAAATAGACTATTTGGCATGCTCTGGACTAAATTATGCACGCTTTGAGAGTTTATCCATAATGCTGAGAGAGTAACGCGAATTTTTTATGCTCGGCGAGTTATCTTGCGCTACAATATCGAATTGAGGCTAAGCTAATTTTTCGTTCCAAATTGAATTGAGGCTAAGCTAATCGGTCGTATTACGTGCGCAAGATTCAATTTTTGTTACTTGACTTTTGATGTTTTTATTTTTTTTCTCCAAAATTTATGGTTTTTCTAAATATTTTGCTTTCCTAAAAATTTCGATACGGATTAAGGTGCAGTCGGAACAATCAGGGCCTTACCCTGATATACGAGTAATCTTGTTTTTATCCAGAGTTAAGTGGTTTGCGATTGCCTAGTTAATGATTAAGCTCAAACGTGGCAATCGATTACTTGATTTATTAGCAATGATTAAGATCAAATGTGGCGATCTTTTACTTGATTTATTAGCAATGAAAAATCATCGACACCCAAATTTACTTTCAAATCTGAAGAATCATTGACACCCAAAATTACTTTTGAATCTGAACTCAATGAAACCAGATCAATATGATACAATATCATTAGTCCTGATCCTTGTTATACACCACTTCAACAGCGACATAAATGACAAACAGCAGCAAGTAAAACAATGATAGCCGTTTACTGTGCAAGTGGCACAGAATTTTCCGACCATAGTCTAGAAATACAAAAGAAATTTCTTTTTAAATTAGTGTAGTTTTTTTCTGCATGACTTATTAAAAAGATCCGAAAACTGGAAAATTTGACTGTCATAGTAAAGTAAGCAATTTGGAAAAAACTTTGTAGAAAAATGTTTAAGAAAACAAAAAATATCATGAAAAGTGCAAGAATAATTTTCCTTTTTTGGCAGACAATTTTTTTGAAGTTTTGATGTTTTTTCTCGAATGGCGTTTAAAAACTCCCAAAATCACTTTAGTTGGGTAAAACTAAGTTTTTGCCGTTTGAAATATGGAAAAACATGCCATTTTTAGCCCGCTCGCTCGAATTGTTTGCTCAAATTTGGACTAAAATCAAAAATTTTAAATCGGTTTTTTTCATCGTTGGGACTGTTTTTTCTAAATTTGTTTAATGTCGCTCGAATAATGACTGAAAGGGCTTTCCTATGATATATATCTTGACTCATTCGCGTAATTGTTTGTGGTTCTTGATTTTGCGTGGAAAACAATATGAAAAAAAAACACCCGAAATAGAAATTTCCTCCTCATTTTTAAGAGTATTGAACGAAGTGAGTACTCTTATATAGGTCTTGCTGATTTTTTTCAGGAAAAAGTCTTAAAATTTGCTCACGCTCAATTTTTATTTTTCGCGGTTAGATTTGTTATTTTTTTTTAAGTTCATTGCATTTCTATTGGTAAGAGGAACACAATGTTCACTATGGAACAGAAAAAGCGTAAAAGCCATGAAAAACGTCGTTGTCTTCAAACTTCGAAAATGGAATCTAACAATCAGATTTTCCAGCAAAGTTGAAATGTTCCCTATTGGTCCAGTTTTCTCAAACTGGGTTAATTTAAACAAAAAAGTGTCCATCATAAAATGTTCTACAAATTCAACGAGTTTTAAGGCTATCTTTTTTTTTCTTCAAAATTCAAAAGTTGTAGATTTTTGAAAAAACAAGTCGGTTTTTTTTCAGTTTTCTTGCGTTCATTACTCTTTTCCATCTGTCAGTTGGCTGTTTCAAATAATCGAAACAACAAAATCGCTTCTTCCAAAGCCCCTAATGTTCCGATTGCCCCTTAATCTATATCGAATAGTTTTTGGGAAACGAAAATTTTGAAAATCTATAAATTTTGGAGAATGTCAAAAGCCTTCGAAAGTCGCAACAATTACCCATTTTTACTGTTTTCCCTATTCACCCGATTATTTTCAAAGTCAAAATGCTCATATCAATGAAACTTGAAGTTTATTTCCAACATTAAGACAGAATTTTTTCCTGTTCCCCTGTTTTCATGAATCATTTCCAATTGTCACTTGGCTATGTTTATTTTAATTACGGTTTTGCCTAATTGTCTATGGTCCGTCTATGGTTCTTTCGTTTAGGCTCAGTCCTTTAGAGTACCTTTTAGAAAATTGTAATTTTGTAACTTGAAGCTGATGCGATGCGTCTCGTTTTTTGAGCAAGCTTCTGCATCTCTGTATCCATCTTGGTAAGTCTCTTTTTTATACTAAGTCTGTTTTTATTGTGAAGTTTGAAGTTCTTCCAAGTGAGGAGCGACAATAGTTATTTTTTCCTTCCTCCGCGAAGTAACTGAAAAGCTTAAAAACATAATTTTTGGGCTGTTTATTTAAACTTTCTCAAGCATTTGGCCCAGAACACAATTCTCAATCTCTGCCATCTTAAACTATTTCAAAAAGTTTGTCACAACATTTATGCTAATTTTTAGTAAATGAACTATTTTTAATCACCAAATTAACTTATCTTCTGATCATATTCATAACTTATTTTAACTTGCCTGAAGACTTGTAAAACAATAAAAACACAATTTCTGATACAAAAAATAAAGCCCGAAAGCGACGAACAAGTAAAAATTGGGTCTAGTTTTCAATAAATGTTTTGCAGAGCACAAAATCAAATAAGCAGTTGGGTTATTATATGATTAATCTTAAAAAAATTTTAATCTCTTGATTACAAAAAGTTGAGCGTAGCTATTTATTCGTGGAGCTATTTTTTCATTTCGTTTTCTTTGTTGAAAGGAAGGAAAACTTCTTTATGGAACAGCAAAAGTGTAAAGTTCTTGCAAAAACGTGATCGACTGCTAATTTCGAAAGAAAATTTATTTTTCAGATTTCCCAGCGAAATAACAAACTTACTTACTTATTGATCAAGTTTTCTCAATATGAGTGAATTTTATCAAAAAGATATTTTTGATGAAGCTGTTTGCTGATAGGACTAGGAGACAATGAGCAACTGAGGAAAGACATCCTGACGGGAAAAGAGAGCAGCTCGGAGGCGAAGAAGGTGAGAGCGGGCAATGCACGTAACCTGCAGTTCAATGAGGCCAAGAAACTGGACTCGGACAACGAGGCCATCAACCCTACAGACGATGTCGCCTCAGTCACTTCCAGCGGCAGGTCCAAATACAATGCCAGCAATGCATCTACCAGAAGATCACGGTTGGTCGCTACTTTTTGTACTCGTTTGTTTTGTTTGTCTTTGCAGATATAAGCGGTGATAATAGCTAAGTGTAACTGAACTCAGTGAAAACAACTTTTGGCCCTTTTTTCTTCCCCCCTCCCCCACCTACAATTTTTTATAATTAAAATTACTGTTCACATTGTCCGATTGTCATGAAAATTGACATGCTGATAAATTAAGGGTTGGCATGTTATTTAACATTGTTATTTAACATTGAATTTAACTTACAGTGTTATTTACAATTTCTAACAGTGATGTTAGCTATTTCTTAGAAATATGAGTAATTCTTAGAAAAACACAACGCAACTATACTGCATGCTTGTTCCGAAACGATTGTAGCGAATCTCGAACGGATGAAAAAAAAAATTTCAAACCAATTGCAGTTTCACTTGACAAACTACAGAGCGAAAAATCTCACCTGACGTATGGGAAGCTTCGTGCTCAACTCGGCGTTGAGAAAGCCGGAAAGTTAGCGTTTCTGTTCAACAAACTCAACTCTTGTTGATATGTTAATTTAATTAACAATTTAACAAAAATAACATGTTTTTTTTCGATAAATAACAGTTAGTTTGTTATTTTTGTTTTTAACTTACATTTTGCCAACCCTGCAAACATATTTGGTCTTCATAATCAGCCATGTAAAACTACTCGTTAGACCATAAAATTGATGCTTGTGTGAGGTGAGGAAAAAAGGAAAAAGAGCCCAATTTTGACAGTGCTTTTATGGGTTTTGCTTTCTTGGTTTCTGCGCACCCAAAAAATGCTTTGTTTGTCATACCAATGCTAAAGAATGTGAAATTTTATTACTATGGAATTTTTTTTCAATAGCATGGAATTATATATCGAATAAAGTCGAACCATCTGCTTAGCAGAACAAACTCGAGAAATTTTTTTGGTCGAGAAAGTCGATGCATACCGACTTTTGGTCGACACTGTCAAAACATGAAGTCAGCTCCTCGACCGGGGACGAGAAGCACTTTTTGTCAATCCGGGATGCCACTCTTGTTCAACATATTCACTCATGCCGACGAGGTTTTCACCTGCTCTTAGATGCTCGAGGTCCGCGATTTAAGATGATAGCAAAGTTGCAATCTAGTTAATCTATCTGTCTGGCGCTAACTGGTATTTAACCTTCGTAGTTGTCTGTCGCCTTCGGATGACCGCTATTTCATTGTCTCCGACTAACTTTCTATATTACGGTTTTTAAACTTAACGGATTAATTTACTTATCGAAACCGTCTTTTCACATGGAGCAGCCAACAGGTCAGAGTGGGGGGAAAACCCACTGGGGATTACGTCGTTATGGCCGTCTACGTTAGCCGAGCCACCAATGCTATGGGAGTTTTGGTTTAACCGATTTCAATGGGGCATGGTGGCCAAACACAGTATCAATCCGAAAAACATTTACTACGCCAGCACGCTAACAACAGCTCAAATTACGGCTCTACCGCAGGAGTTAGATGGGAAAGATCGTCTGGTGGCTGAGCAGACATTAATATCGAACTTGTACCTGTGACTGGGGGAAAAAGGGCAGGATGAATTCCACAGAAGAAAACCACACTTGGATCTCTCTACAACACGGTACGCTAGAGTTATCGATGCTCTAGAAACTGAGTGCAAGAGAGAACGCAATGAAACCTATGAAACATTCCAGTTAATGGCAAGAAAACAACAAACTGGAGAATCCTTGGAGCAGTTCCATTCGATTTCAAGTGGCTTAGCAGCACGGTGCACTTTTGGAGCGTTGGAGACAAGAATCTTAAGTGACGTTTCATTGTAAACATGAATAATAGAGGGGCACAGAACGAACTATGTCGATCAACAAAAACACCAGAGGAGGTGTATCGTGTCGCGCTCTCATACGAACGTGGATACAAGTACGCTAAGACATAACAGAACCGGTGGGGATAATCCGAGGGGGATATCGGAACAGCAGACAGCGCGGCCGTGGATTGTTCAGGGGACGAGCGGATCTGAGAGGGGGAGCATCTAAAAGGTGCTGTAACTGTGATCAACCCAACTTTACTCCAGAACATCTGGCAAGATGCCCGGCTAGAAGTGCGACGTGTAATTTTTACCGGAAGACCGGACACTATGAGAAAACCTGTCGGGAAAGCGTACTAACCGAGGGAGACCTGCGGTGGGATTGATTCAGGATGTGAACGTTAGCGAAATAGGCGACGCTGAGGATGTCTATTCGCAGCACGAAAACTCAGTTGGATGGGTCAACGCGCCGGAGAAAAGGCAACGATCATGAGATTCGGACAGCTCAGGAGATTACCTTGTGATGGCCATAAAATCTCGGAAGGAAACGGAGTTGAAAGTGGCTGGCGCTAGACTACCGATTAAGATTAATGGTAGGCAAACCAATGTTTAGATAGATAGATAGCGGATCGCCGATCTCTATATTCACAGTTGGCGAATTGAAACGAACTTTGGGCAGCGCAGGCGTAAAACTAAACGAGCTAATACCGGAGGATGACGACTTAAGGGATTACGGGAACAATCCTATACGGCTGCTAGGAACGATGAACGTTTTATTTGAAACAAACGGATTGGCAACCGAAGCTAGATTCAAGGTGATAGGAGGAAATAGACCGTCGATCATTGGGAGGGATCTGATGCCAAATCTGGGATTACAAATAGTGCAACGAACACCGGAGCAGAAGGTGATGTCCGTTCAAGGAGAACAACCGGAGGCTGAAACGTCGAGCGAGGAGTATTCATTAGACCCATGGCAAACTTATTTTAGTAAGCAATTTAATAACTTTTTTCATAGAGTCGGTAAAATTAAGGATTACAAGGTACAAGCGGAATTTTTCGAAACGTTAACACCATCGTTACCAGCGGAATTTTTCGAAACTTTTGCAACAAGGGCATATCGAAAAACTGGAAGAATGTTCGGACAAATATTTTGTTTCGCCAATTGTAATCACAGTGAAGAAAGATGGGTCAGTAAAATTAGCATTAGAGTCAAGGGAGTTAAATAAACAGGTCCACAAGAACAAATATCAAATGCCCAATATCGAGAGCTCATGGATACCGTGAACGGAAAACGGGGATGTATATTTTTCTACAATGGATCTTACATACGCTCATGTCCAGCTACCACTTAGTCGAAAAATGAGTTTTCAATGCAATTTTTTGTTAGTGGTGGGAAAATCAACGGGTACGTATCGCTTTCGAACGGGTTTTTACTGTCTCACAACCATGCCGGCGGAATTCCAGAGGGTAATGGATGCCATTTTATCGGAATTTCTACAGGCACACGCATTCATAGATGATAACCTGGTTGTCACGAAAGGCACCGAAACTGAGCATATCTCGGCGGTCGACAAAATTTTACGGAAATTAGAAAGGGAAAACATGTCGCTCAAATTTACTAAATACCAGTTTGCCCGAAAAGAATGTGAATGGTTGGTGCATAAATTAACCTGCACCGGAATTACACCACTGATTCGAAAAACGGAACCAATCGAGTCCTTAAAAGCCCCTAAAACAGTCTCGCAATTAAAATCGTTCATGGGCTCTATCCATAGCCTACACAAATACCTCCCAGCACTCGCGTAATCGTCGGCCTCGCTCCGCCCTCTGCTAAGCAAGAAAAATGAATATATCTGGACTAACGAGTGTCAAATATCATTCGATAATCTAAAGAAATAGGTAGCTAACATAGTGGAATACGGCATTTCGATATACACCGTAACACAAGAATCGTTTGTGACGCAAGCCATAACGGGCTCGGTGCGGTTCTTGAACAAGCTAATTCCGATGGATGGAGGCCGATACTTCCGAAATTATGTGTTGGGGAGAAAGTTTTTGATTGTTACGGATCATTGCCAAATAGGAACAATAAAAAAATAAGACTATGTTTAGCAGATTAACTCGGTGGCTAGATCGTCTTATACTGTTCGATTTTCAATTAGAACACAAACCCGGAGCTAAAATCGGCTTCGCGGATTATTTATCGAGACATCCGAGTTCGGACGCTAAACCGGTTAGCACATATGATAGCAAGTTTACGGTGGCGAAAATTAGTCTAACTCGATCCGCCCTCGGATTTCAAAAGGGAAAATTCTCCAAAGGCAAACTCGAGTCTCCGAAGGCTAATCATAATAAACGCGTTTGTAATATATCGAATAGAAAACAGTCGCTAGAGGGCGAAAGAAAATGCGTTCGAAATTGGACCAATCACAGAGCGACGAATTGCATATCCGGCTGGTCAACTAAGTTCAATGAGAATTTAATTGGGACAATTATTGAAACAGACTTCGATCATTCTTATTCATATATAAATTTCAACAATTCAAAATCTACCTTAAACATGGAACGGAAAATCAGAAAATTACTTGAATAACATACTAGCATTAGAAGTAGCGACGAAATAGAGGAGATAGATCAGAATATACAGGCAGTTACCACAGAAGTCCGGAGCAATAAAAGCAATACCATTATTTCAATTCCATCGGTTTGCCCAGGTGAAAGTTATCCGCCGGTTAATCCTGAAAATTGTGTTATATCGATAATCCCTAGAAACTGTAAAAATGTTAACAAACAAAACGCTCTTCCGGAATTGTTTAACCTTCGATTTATCGAATCCCACTACCCATCCGACCCGCATTTACAAGCGATTATCGAAATGATCAAGTGCAGGGACCCGGAGTTACATACAGCAATGAGTTAATAAGATCACAGCAATGAGTTAATATTATGCACAATACACACAGGACTTTCACTTGAAGGACTGATGCTTCTGGATTGATGAGAGACTCGTGATCCCAAAAACCTTACAGACGGCAGTAAACAACAGACTGCAGTATTACCACCATGGGAAGTCGAATATGTACGAGGCGGCAAAAGACATCTGGTACCCGTACATGTTCCGCAGTTTAGCGACAATGGCAGGAAATTGTCGAGAGTGCACACTGACCGGTAAGAGTTTGCAAAACATGTGCCCAAAAGGGGATGTAGGTAAAAT